AAACAAAATGAATATATGTGTCTGAGTAGTAGTGTGGTGTGTGCTATTTATGTTGACAGATATAAGTAGTATGTAACACCAATCGAAAATGGAATGCCTGCCAACAGAAGGTTAAGAAGATTGAATAGAAGAGAACGGGAACAGTGATTGGTATGGAAATGAAGGAACAATGAAGTTGTCTTTATTGTAATGTTGATAGCATTTTATAGATAACTTATCAATATGTTCACAATAGGTATATCGATTAAATAGTTAGACATTAACACCGTTGGATGCCGACCAGCTCAGTGGTCTAGTGGTTAAGCGCCCGCTTGCGAGACTGATGGGTCCTGGGTTGGAATCTCGCGAGGCGAGGTCGTGGATGCCCACTACTGAGGAGTCCCACAATAGGATGAAACGGACGTCCAGTGCTTGCAAGTTATCCATGGTAGTCTAGCTTCAATTAACTCATGATCTCAACTATTGAAAAAGAAAATACTCCAACCGCTCAACGAGAGAATAAACAAATCAGATTAAAAAGTATTCTCTGTTTTCTTTTTTTTTTCCATTACTAAAGTTGAACAAACTAAAAAGTTTTTTCTCTTAGCCCTCTCTCTCTCTTATTTTTATTATTGTTATTGTTATTATTTACATTTATGATGTAAAATCCAGTTTATTTACATAAATTAATATCGGACAACTTGTATTTGTTTACAGTATGATTGTTGTTATCATCATCATCATCATCATCCTATTTTGTTATTGTTGGTAACGATGACGATGTTTACGTCACCGTCAGTTTTGTTTTGTTTTTTTTCTTTAGCTCCAACCATTAATGTTGTTATTGTTACCACCATCGTTCTTCTCTGTTATGATCTTTGTTGTTATTATTTCTGTAATCATTATTGTTCCGCGAAATGACATATAAGTAGATAGAAAACAAAGTTCTCTCTCTCTCTGTTTTTACTTTCCTCTGTTTACAAATCAGATAATTTCCTCATTAACTTCATTTTTCCCTGTACTACTTTAATTTTGTTAATTATAGAGTTGTCTTTGAAGCATTTTTCTCGAGTTTTGTGGAATAGCTGAGTGAGTAATGTTGAGATTATGCATAGGGTACTTGACAATGGTGACAAATCGGTTGATGATGAAGGTTGCAAATCTTTATTGTGTCTCTAGCCACCACCCACTACAGTGACCGATTTTTGTTAGTCCAGAAATAGGTTAGAAGAAAGTTAATGGCTTCCAAATTAAAACGTGAGGTCAAATCATAAAGCCGAATAGAAGAGAGCAGTTGTTAAGTCAGTGAAAGAACGATGAAGTTTGAGACAATTGGTGGAGAATTTGCAAATAAAGTACTAAACGTACGGTTTTCACATTTGATCAAAGAAATCTTTAACACATTGGTTGTCCCCACCTGTGTTCTCGTTCACAACACTGACCATATGGTTTCAGGAATTTACAGAAGTTCAAGGGAGATGTGTAACTCTATAGATACCCACGTTTTTCTGTACATAAATGAGCTATGAAGTAAAGTTTTCACTTGCAATTCGCGCCTTCTCTTTAGTGTTTTAGCTGACGTGTAAAACAAGTTGGGGATATCCGAACCGGCTAGAAAGAGAATTTAAGCAAGACTTATTATCATTATTCAATATTATATTTTTAGTACAATATAGAATTCTCAGCACAAAGTATTTCAAGAAGTATCCTTTTCTTATTACTTGATCGATCTCAGCGATAAATATTGAAATCTTGTAGTGACAATGAGAAGTCGCCTTGTGAATCATTTGACAAGGATTCTTGAGTTGTGATTACACTACAATTGTGAGACATGTGTAGACTCAATAGGAATTGAAGACAGTTCACCTTGCCACTTAGTGATCACCAGTTTGATGTTAACAGCTCAGGAAAAGACATCTGAATAATGTTCATTTTTTTCAATGAATATTGCCAGCCACCACGATGTCTCTGATTGTATTGTTTTGTAAGTTGTATAGCGAAAGTTCGTAAACTATTCATAAACGCTCCTGAATAGGTTATGCGATTAATAGCCATAATGTGTTAGAACAGGCAAAAAGCAGATAACCTGTTGAAGTATTTAAATGGTAGAAACAAGTAGCCCAGATATTCAAATAGACCGCCTTTTGTCGATTTTGAATTTCATTATCCCTTCATACATACTTTTCCAGTCTATCTTTTTGAACCGTATTCTTTTTCTTCTTATCATTGTGAACATATTGTACAATACTGGCTGTAATAGAATTAGATTAAAAGAAACAAGAGCAGAATGTCAAAACATGATGTTAATCTATGAAGTTATTGACTATGCGTCTAATTCGTGTTAGCAAATGTAAACTTCCTTAAAAAAGGGGCCACGTGATAATCTATTAATTTATGACTTTTGAATTCAGTTAAGGAAACTTGATATAGACCAGACTAGGTTACACAGGGTCACTTATACATTCATCTGCAATTAAATATAGTTCTTAACTTTCCATTCTGAAATTTCACTTGCAACATGTTTAGGTTTTCATTTCATTTTCTACTGGTTTACTTTTCTTTTTTTTTTAAAGTTTGCTCTCTGATTTGTATTGATTTGAAGTATAATGCTACTGGCAACTAATTAACTAACTGATATTCATGTTAGATAAGTATCTATTATAACCTTAGACTAACAGTTATTCATTTCATGGAATGATGCCAAGTGTTGGTTTGACCAATCCTAGTTTTATTCCAATTTACCACTACACTCAGTAACATCATCTCCGAAGTAGACGATGGTTAGCTAAATGTAACACATTGTCTCAACTGCTTCAATTGGTGCAAATTCACAATCTCATTAATTGAATTGCCATTTTTGCTGCACCATCTGCTTCAAACCCCAACATTGTTTTGCTTGGTCGTTCCACGATAATCGAGGAATTCTTCGAAGATATTTATGATTAATAACTTGCAGCCCACTCATATATTTTAATCAATTTCTTATGTACATGAATCTATTGTTAGTTATTGAGCTATGTTAAATCTAATGTACAGCATGATTGATTCGAAGAATCAAAAATTTATCATATAAATTAATCAACGGTCAGATGTACAAGTATATCAGTCTACTGATCAGCGAACACATTATATCTTTTAATTAGACAAACAATTTATCACAAAGTGTAGATAAACCAGAAAACTCATAGATCCATGTTTTCCTGATACCTTTTTTGGCAATGATCGTAAATTGAATCACGAAATAATCTTAGCTAGACCACCACCATTTGAAGCGCTAGGTAATCGTTCCGTCGTAATAAGAGATTTCTTAGCACTGCTGATCGGCGACCATACATACGGGAATCAGATTCAGGGTCTTCATTCTCGTGCGCTAGCTCCTAACTTCTAGGCCAGTGAACCGTCATTCATTAATGTGCATATCTAACTTTAGTCTCTCATTGTCTGCCTCATTTTTGAAAAGGTTGAACTCTAATGTTCATAGCCTCACACTGAAAACTCCAGAAGTTTCATCTTGAAGCTAGTTACTAGTGTGGATATGATCATTATTTGTATAGAGAAGGGGAATTTGTAGGGATCGTAAAATTCCCATAGTTTAAATCACGAACTGATGACAGCATTTTATTCATTGTAAAGTTCGAATTGTTGAAATAAAGTAGAATAAACGCTTCAACTTTGGGAAATATTTACATGGTTTGCACATTCTTAAACAGTTTGCAATGTTTTTTTTGTGCAGCCGATATTTCAGTGTGTCATATATATTCTAGTTAGTTTACCAGTCAACCGACTCTTTGATACCATTAGAATTTCCTTTGTTCTCCAATCTCCGATTACCCTAAAAGATAAATCATACAAGTGAGACATATTTGGTTGAAGATCAGCAAAGATCTATCAAAGCAAACAACTTATATACTTAAGATAATTACCCTTCATTAGAGAATAAGGCTGGAATCTGACACTAACTTTGTCCTGGGATCTCTTTGATGTTTGCCTTAAATTCCTGGTGCAACATGTCATCTGATCTGTGTCTTTTCCTCTTACCTTGATAACCTCAAGTTAGGGTCTGTTATGTGATGCAGTTTGATGATTTCTGCAAAGTGTGACCTATCCAGCCTCAGCATTTTCAGGCTCTAAATTTTCCTTCGTTTGTTTTTTTCATACGGCATATTAGGATGCTCTATAGCGTGTGCTCACAGAAGAAATATGTGGATAACTTCAGATAATTAAAAAGAAGTCATTAGTGAAAATCATGCACTAATAATCAGCACTCACTAAGTAGCCGGGAAAGTGTTCTAAATGCTAGATATTGCATTTTTTAAATATCAGGAGAATGATGATTTCCCACACACAAAAATAACCAGTGAATAAATTGTTGTTTAGGAGTTTGAATATCTTCAATACCCAGAAAATGTCCATCGTTGAAGAAAAAGCATCATTGATGAAACCTTTTTATCTATCCATGTACTTATTTAACTTTCTAAGTGATAAAATAATGAAAGTAATAGGGATGATGTGTTTGGAAAAAATTAGATAGGATTTCACTTAAACATGGCATTTTTCTATGAAATCATCATTGACTGTTGGACTGATCCACTTTGATAGGTGCAAATTAATCGGTTAGGGTTCACTCGATTATCGTGACCAATGGATAGAGACGTTGAATAACCATAGTTCAGAATCGATCACAATAGTGTAGATTCATCCCCGATTTGTTTTCTCACCTAGATCCTGAGTTCTAAAATTGTATTATACATGATTATCCCACGAATTTCTTATTTCCTCGTGAATCATCTTGTCTATTTCTAGTGTGTTTCTGTTATTGGATCTTTTTCTCTGATAATTTCATTACTCTGAGCTGATATAGTATAATGATTTAAATTGATCCTTACTAGGTTCTACTCTGCTTCTAGCTACGACTAACTGATTTATTTCTACTAAAGTGTGAATGCTTGTCAACTTGTATTTATGCTTCAGTTAAAACCTTTATTGATTTTTTTGTGTTTTTCCGCCCCCCCCCCTTAAAGTTCACTGTAATATACCAGAAGCTATGGATTCTGAAAATTCATTAGTGATGACATGCGAAAATCTTGCATACACATCATCATCGTCACAACAACAAACATCACTGTCATCCTCGGTAATCGTAGTTCCGGCAGCAGTATCATCATCGACAGGAACTTCATCCTTGACAACAGTGTTGACCACTGCAGCTGTCACAACAATACCAACTACAACAACAGCACCGACAACAAAGACGACAGCCACGTCAAGTACAAATGGTGCCACTTCAACTGCAAACAATAATAATACATCATTAGCTCAAAGACAATACTATCGATCACATTGTGCACGTCCCAGATTCACTTATGCTAATTTGATACGTCAAGCAATATTAGAATCACCGGGACAACAATTATCACTAAGTGCAATTTACGTATGGTTACAACGTGAATTTGCTTATTTTCGACAAAATGAAGCTACATGGAAAGTGAGTTATTTGTTCTTGTTTGTTTTGTTCTTTCGACTTCATTATTTAAAGAAAATAATTAGGGAAATGTGTTAATAGTAAAGAAAATACATAGTTGTACACTGATTGATCAATCACTGCATATTATTCATTTTCCAATTTGAATTAGTCCTTAAAGATGATAGAATCCAATCGATCAAGTTTCAATTCAGGCCATTCGTTTAAGTGGTTTGACATTGGATTCATTATGTCAGATGATGATTAGCGGTAAGTGGTAGGAACTACTTCCTTGATCTGCGTTTGGTGTTTGTTGTGTTACTTGTTAGCACAAATAGGGTGTGTCTAGAAATTCAAGAGTACTTTGATGCTGTTCAAGGGATTTTCATCTACATCAATCATTGTTATTATTATAGACATTCCCAATGAAGTAACTCGTGTCGTAGCGAACTTTTTTGTAAGGGGTTACTACCGATCACATTCAACCATCTAACAATAAATGTCTATCGTCTACGATGGAAGATTTATTGCTTGGACAAAGGATTTTTTAGCAGCCTTTATATTTCTAAAGCTGAATGATTTAATGTTCTGCAGATGATTAATAGTCATCTATGAACAAAACTCTCATGGGTTCACTACTTTTCTAAATTTCTACTATTTCCGTTATGTAAAAACATGATGAAATCTTTACGATTCAGTTAATAACTATACAACTAACAAAACATGTATACTGTTAAGTAAATTACCGGGATAAAGAAAAAAAAATGATGAGTAGAAAATAAAATTGAAGCGAGCGGTGACCATCTATCCTTCCTTAATAGTGTCTATGTCCATATCTTTGCTATGAAATGCATGAACGCAAGCTTGTATACCAGTGATATGCATGTAAAGCATAAGTGTTTGAAAATGGTAGTAAATACGAATGAAGAGAATAGTAACCATCTACCTCTCCAAAGGAACGAGTATACCTATGTGCATGCCATAGGATGAATAAGTGAAAACTTATGTGTATGCGTGGCTAAAGGAGCGGTTTCCACCAGAAAAACCAATAGATTTCAACTTAAGAGACTTAATTAAACTAAATCAGTTTGGTAAGTCACCCAAAATAAATAGAGTTCATTTAAAGGCATTCAACATTGATGATCGTCTTCCCCAATGTTAATGGATCTAACTAGTTAGTGATGGGGCACTATGAAAATATCGACCTAATTTTTTTTGTTTTCGTACAACAACCAAACTTCTAGAGTTACTGCCAGCTCCAAGCCCACACAAAGGTGGAGGGTTGGGTGTGGGGTCGGAAACTTCATCCCATAGAAAGCAATCTTGCTAAAATACTCCAACCACATTAAATAAATGAATCCATTTAAACGCTGTCCTCCGAGTTGAAGGAAGAATTATAACGCCTCATGATGAAAGCCGAGATTCTTCGAAAGTTACGAGGCCGATGCCCCTTCTAACAACCAGAGCAACAATTTTTATAGGTACATGAAACGTCCGGACAATGTGGGAAACCAGAAGGACCAGTTAAATAGCAACGGAAATGAGAAGATACAACTTGGCAGTACTCCGAATCAGCAAAACCCGTTGGATCTAAGCTAGACAGCAAAGGCTGGATACGGGAGAGATGATGCTGTACTCCGGAAACGAAGAAGAAAACGCTCTGCACACTCAGGGAGTTGCATGAAATGCATTTATTGGATGGGAATTTCATGGATCCAGGATCATCAAAGCATCCTTCAAAACAAAGAAGGAGGGAAGCAAAATGAATGTTATGCATTCACCAATGATAGCGACGAAGACAATAAAGATAAGTATTATGAGAGGCTGCAATCAGTCATAGTGAAGTGCCTAAAAAGGGATCTCACCATTCTGATAGGACATCTAAACGCCAAGGTCGGGATGGACAACAACGGCTATGAAGATATTATGGGACTACATGGGCCGATTGAGAGAAGGAAACAAAAATGGAGAGATATTTGCAAACCTATGTGCATTCAACAAATTGGTTATTGGCAGCACAATATTCCCAAGCAAACGCATACACAATCCTACATGGGTCTCACCTGATCACACCACGGAGAACCAGATAGATCATATTTATATCAATAAAAAATTCCGAAGGACAATGGAAGATGTGAGAACCAGGGGCAGAGCTGATATAGCTTCAAATCACAACACAGTTATGGTCAAGATGAGACTGAAGCTAAAGAAGCATTGGACAAACGGCATTACAAAGGTTCAATACAGCCTTCCTTCGACGTATTAACAAACTCAACGAATTCAAGATAACTTTCAACAAGCCCTACAAGGTCCACTCAAAGAAAAAGAAACTACGATGGAGGATAATTGGAAAATGATCCTAGAAGCACTAACTTCAACATGTCAGGAGGTTATGGACCGCAAGAAGCATCATCATAAGGCACAGATTTTTATAGAAACCCTGGACAAGATCCAAGAAAAGGAAGAACAAGAAGACAGCAATTAACATCAGCCGAACAAGAACAGAGAAATTTACGGCACAAGCTGAATACATCGAAGTAAGCAAGCAAGTGGAAAGGAGCATTAGAGCTGACTATCAGAAATATGTGGAAGAGCGGATGGGCCGCAAGAAAAGGAATTATCAGACAACTATATGACACGACGAAGAAACTGTCAGGGAAATACAGTAAACCAGAGAGACCGGTCAAGGACAAAGGAGGAAAGCCAACCACTCAGATTCAGGAGCATAGGAACAGATGGGTAGAATACTTCAAGGAACTCTTCGGTAGACCAGCCCCAATGAATCCACGGGACATCGAAACAGAACACACAGACCTTCCTATAGATGTCACTACACCAAAAACGGAAATCAGGATGGCCATCAGACAAATCAAGGCCGGGAAAGTGACATTATCTGGCAACATATCAGCTGAAGCTCTGAAGTCAGATATAGAAGTAACTGCAATTATGCTTCACACTTTATTCAGGAAGATTTCGGAGGAAGAACAAGTACCAACAGACTGGAAAGAAGGATATCTCATCAAGATACCAAAGAAAGGAGATCTGAGCAAATGTGAGAACTACAGAGGCATCACACTACTAACAGTACCAGGAAAGGTTTTCGACGGAGTGCTGCTGAACCAGATGACAGACTCAGTAGATGCCCAACTTCAAGATCAACAGGTTGGATTCAATAAGGATCTTCGTGCAAAGACCAAATTGTGACACTACGGATCATCGTGGAACAATCGATGGAATGGAACTCGTCACTATACGTCAACTTCCTTGATTATGAAAAAGCATTTGACGGTGTGGATAGGAGAACACTGTGGGATATTCTTTGAAGCTATGGTGTGCCTGAGAAGATCGTCAACATCATGGAGAATTCATACGACGGACTATAGTGCAAAGCCGTGCGTGGAGGGAAGCTAACAGATACATTCCAAGTGAGGACCTGAGTCTAACAAGGCTGCTTACTCTTCCCCTTTCTCTTTCTTCTGGTGGTCGACTGGATTATGAAGACCTCGACATCTGAGGGGAAGCACGAAATACAGTGGACAGCTCGGAATCGATTAGACGATTCGGACTTTGCAGATGACCTATCTCTTCTATCACATACACACGAACAAGTGCAGATGAAGACAAATACTGTCGCAGCAGCCTCTGCATCAGTAAGCCTCAACATACATAAGGGACAAAGTAAGATCTTCAGATACAATACGTAGAACACCAACACAACCACACTTGATGGAGAAACTCTGGAAGAGGTGGACTTCTTCACGTATCTGGGAAGCATCATCTATGAACAAGGAGGATCGGATGTAGACGTGAAGGCGAGTATTAGCAAAGCAAGGGCCGCTTTCCTTTGATTGAAGAACATAGGGAACTCAAAACAACTCAACCAATATCAAAGTGATAGCCTTCAATACGGACGTAAAGACAGTCTTACTGTACGGAACTTAAACTTGGAGAACTACTACAACCACCATCAATGAAGTACAAGTATTTATAAAGTTGTCTACGTAAGATACTCAATGTTCATTGGCCGGATACCATCAGAAACAGTCTACCATGAGAGAGAACAAACCAGCTTCTAGTTGAAAAGGAAGTTAGGAAAACGCATTGGATGCGGATAGGACACATATTGAAGAAATCATCAAACTGCAAATTGAGGCAAGCTCTTACTTGGAGTCCTGAAGGGAAACAGAAAAGATGAAGGTCAAAGAATGCTCTAAGTCGAGAATCGGAAGCAGACATGAAAAGGTTGAATAGCAACTGGAAAGGATTGCTCAGGATAGAGCTGGATGGAGAATACTGGTGAGCGGCCTATGTTCCTCGACGAGGGGGAGCAGGCGTAAATAAGTAAATAACTACAACAAACAGTTACATGTAATACATTTTTCATCCATTCAATAGTCGGTGGACTAGTTGCACACTCAAGTCACCGCTGAATATAATCCAATACATTATACCTGTAAACTGTTCCTATCTTATGATAGACTATTCCATATCACCTGAGTACAATTTTTAAATGATACTTTGTATCAATACAGTTAGGTTCTCTCATACACCAGTTATCTTTACTACTTGTATTGATCAAGCTATGAATAAAAAATGAACCATCTTTTCTTCTTCTGTTATGTTTTGTTGATGATATATTAGATGGTTGGAGGTAGTCAATATGTGAAATCCTGTTGAACCTAGGTTTTGTGCTATTTGGAACTCGTCAACAAGACACAGGAAGTTTTGAGAGAACTGACCCTCTTCTAAGATGGTTAAGCTCATATATATTTGAAATTTACGTTTAAATGTTATATAATGTCTTTACATTATTTCTCATTAGTTGTCCCACAGTGAACAGTTGAAACTTTAAATCTATCTCACCGCATTATTTTCCTTGACTGAACTCAGTGAATGATAGGTGCTTACGCTATGATTTAGATGAAGAATGAATAATTCGTCAGTAATGTACAATGTCTTTCTACGCTGACTGGATGGTTAAATTCATAGCTCATTATTTATAGTGCATAATCTATTGATAGATTATTTAGCTGTAAATGCCTCACATAAGCTGATTTATACAAATAGAGTATTGTTAATATTGTTCACTTATCGATAATTACTTACTGACTTACACTTGTAACCCCTCATAGAGCATGGGCTGCAAAACAGAATTTTCTAAATTACTCTGTCCTGGGATTTCCTTTCCAGATTTTTCCAAGTGGTATTCTTTATTTTGACGTCTGCATCCGATTCCCGGTGCCATGTGTTCTTTTATCTGCCTCTTTTCCCTTTATTTTGAGGATTTCAATTTTCACTTCAACTGGAAGCTGGTTTGTTCTCTGCCGCAGTATTGATAATTAGCCTAATGTATATATTATGTGTTCAATAATTAAGTGCACTGGTTTCTTTCGAAAAGATTTCTCTTTTGTGACAAAACTATGAATCTCATCTTCATTTCCATTGCTTTTAAAGGATAATCTAGAAGTCAAACAGTTCAATTGCTTTATTGTTTCCCACAGAATTTTTCCAATCTTTCCATTTACATATTTTGATAGAATTGTATATACAGTAAACATTTTTTCAAATTCAGTTCGTTAGAAATCTTCTGAATATGTGTTCAGTGTTTTGATCACCTTGTTAGGTTGACAATGTTCTTCTTCTTGATCAAAATTTTTAGTCTTCATGGTCCTCACTGAAACGGCTAGTCAACCTTCCAAAAAAAATTTTCTGTGGTTTACTATCTTCATAATCAGCCCTAAATGTATGAGGAGTTTTTGGTGGTTTTATTCAGGATTCTCCTTTCGTCCTGCTTTGAACTCGTCATAAGCTAAGTATATTTATATCCCATTGTAAATATTTATCACATTAGGATATAAACTCAGCACCGTTTGATTAAAATGACCAATATGTTATTCAGAGTCATTAGCTTGTGCAATCAGTACAATGAGAAAATATGAACCCTCACAAAATAACTTTTTAAGTTTTGACTAAATCTTAACAACCTAATTACTTACTTACGCCTGTTACCCCTCGTGAAAGCCCTTCTGGGCGTGCTGCCAGTTCCAAACCCGAACAGAGGAGGAGAGTTGGATATGGGATCAGCACTCCATCCCCTAGAAAACGACCCTGCTAAAAACACCGACCAGAAAAAATCATTTAAATCTTAACAAGCAATCACTAAAGTCCCACTTTAATTAATAGTAGCAACAATGGTGATAATATTAGTAGTATTGATAACCAAACAACTAACTTGTTTTTCTATTTCCCACCACACAACACATGGTGAGTTTGTGTTATAAAAAAAGAATGTTTGTGTTTTTAATGCAAGATGCTGCAATATATTTATTAGTTGTCGTCTACAGAATAAAAACAAACACTAAAATTGTTCTTCGTTTCCACCCTCCCTCCACCCCCACTCACTATATTACTACTTAAATGACTAGTAGTAGTATCTTCAAAGTAAATAGTGTCTAGTTATGTTGTTATGTTATTATTATTATTATTATCAACGATGTGTTCGCTTTCAATTTTCGATCGTATCAAGTTAAAAACTTGTGCCTAATTAGTCTCCATCACACTTAGAAGTGGATGGACACATATCTCTGTCTCTCTCATTTGTGTAAGTACATCTATCACTGTTATTATTATGACGATGATAGTGTACAGACTTATAATGAGTTCTATTACGGTGTTTATTTATTAATTTACTTAGTTTTATTTATTTGTAGCCTTCGTAAACAACTGTCTTATGTAGAGAGATAGGTACAGTGGATAAGTGTATAGGTGAACAATTGTACAGTTCTACGAGTATGTAGATTTTTAGATAGACGACTAATGATGTTTTCGTTTGTTGAAAGAACTAATATTTATCATTTATATATAAAGACAACATGTACATGTATTTGTTTATCTGCCTATCTCTGTTTGTGTGTTTATTTGCATAATGTTGAATTGGGTTAATTGTTTGTATTTGCTTTTATGTAACTAGAATTAGTTTGATTTAAATAATATTAAATTTATGGAAGAAGAATTTCAATAGCCGAGTTCATGAGTCAGTTGAAACTAGACCAACATAGAAAACCTGGAAGCACTGAATGACCGTTTCGTCCCATTGTGTGACTCCTTGGCGGTGCGCACTCACGATACCACCCCTCGCGAGATTCCAACCCAGGACCTATCAGTCTCGTGCGTGAGTGCGTAACCATTAGACCAGTGTGTCGGCATTCGACTGTGTTAATGTCTAATTTCAACTTATCCACGAAATTGAGAGACACATCCACTATTGTCATCAGTGAGTCACTATCTCAAAACTGACCCGATTGAACTCCACTGGTCACTGCTTCTAATTAGAACTCCGGTATATACCTCTTGAGGTCAGTCACAAGTGATCATATGTTGATTAGTATCAGAAGGGGTTTTGTGGTGATTTTAGTAATTTCAATAGTTGAGATCGTGAGTTAGTTGAAGCTAGATCACCATGGAAAACCTGGAAGCACCTGAAAGAATTATTTGATTTGATTACAAAAGATTGCATACATAAATACTATTTGATAGAAATAATAATTAGTTATGAATAATTATTTTAATCTTCATATAGGCGAGTAAGTATTTATGCCAAAGATGAGTTGTTCAGTAACAAATGTTTTGGTATGAATTACTCATAGGATTTTCATAACTTAAATTACTAATTGATCCTAACTAGATCACCATTGAAAACCTAAAAGCACTGAATGACCGTTTCGTTTTGATATGTGACTCTTTAGCAATACACATGCACATCCTCACCACCAGAGATGAAGTTCAGGAACTTCAATTCCGCACATGGACGTTTTACTTATATACCACTGATCCTCCATTTAATGGTTTGGGTGCTTAAATTCTAGAAATCTGCAATATTGCAAAATTGGTTGTCCTAGGTTCGATCTTTAGTGGATGGATCATGAATGGGCACTGTTGAAGAGTCCTGTATCAAGACGAAACAATTGCCCAGTGCTTTATGATTTTCAGTGGTTGTTTAACTAAAATCATTTCATGATTTAAATTATAAAACCCGACATTTTGTTTATGCATGTCTGAGTTTGTGGCTATTTGGATCCAATAGTTCAGTCTATAACATGTTGACAGTTTTAACGAAATATACTACCTTAGTTGAATCTAAATATATCATGAATATTGACGTTGGAATACAGCTAGTGCTACATCTATATTCGCTTACAGAGAGATCCAAATACACATCATGGGATTTCACTGATCTAATATTGCCACAATCCTAATGTGATGAAACTTGCTTCCTTTAAATTTCTTCCCATTTGTTCGACCTTTTTTAAAAACTTTTTTTATTATAAAAAGTTCTCATTTCTCCTTTTTCCCCATTTATATTAACAGAATGCTGTAAGGCATAATTTATCATTGCATAAATGTTTCCGACGATTGGAAACCACATCTGGTTCAGTTTGGGTCGTTGATGAAAGTGAATATCAAAGACGTAAGGCTAAACGAGCAGTGTAAGTGAATAAATATCTGAAATAATAATAATAGACATTTTTGTTTTCTTTATGTGTGTATGTGCGATTGAGTGCAGTTTGAATGCAAAACAAACAGACAGGAACAGTTTTAGTAACATAATGAAAACTGTACGTACTTTATACCTTTGAAGCATTGCTTCTGTTTTGGTTAGGAACACCGAGTAAGTAATGTAAAGGTTTGATAGAAGGTACTAAATAATGATGACAAATTGATTGATGAAGTTGCAAGTCTTTATCAGGTTAAGTGGATAGAATATGTATTAAGTATGTACGACCTACTTCAATGGGAAATGTTTGCTGATTTAAGAGTAGGCTGAAATAAAGCTAGAAATGGTCGTCCAACCAGGATCTGTGATAAGTCTATCAAGTTAGTGACTGTTGGATTAAACTGCGTTGCTCTGTGAAGATTACCTGACTATAGTTCTCGCAATTATTGTAACTTATGATTGCAGAGACTTTTTCTCCGCAATGAGTATGATTAGTCGAATAGATTTATTTGATGAAACTAACTTACTATTGAACTTCAGATCATAAAAACACTACAACTAAACAATTTTTTTTAATACAATTCACATTTTAGATCACCATAAAGATTGGTTGATTACTATGGACGGGAGCGGGTTTAAAGATGTTTTTATGAATTTCATAGTTGACATCACAGACTTCTCTTAGTTAAATAATTATTAAAGACCAGAAAACATTAAGACTCCTCATTAGTGTACATTCAAGATCTTTTTGCTGGGGGGTCGAGCTCAGGACCTTCGGTTTCCATCACGAACCCTTAGCTTTTAAGGCAATTGACCCGGCATCTAATGATGTACACGTTTTGCTTCAATCAACTCGCGATATTACGCAACCACCTTCCACTAAACGCGGTTGATATTTATTTCACGCTCGACACAGTGTAATGTATACTTTTTTCCCCGGAAAAAAAACACCAAAAACACAGCAAACCACAAAAAAACTAATCCAAAGAATGACTCGCAAATCTCACTCACCTTAGGGAGGAATCCAACCGTGTTATTGATTTCTTTCTCTGTATATTTTTTTCTGTCGGTTGGCGAATACAACATGCAGAATTATGCGTAAACGAAAAACTTATTACAATTCACGTGTTTCTATTGTTCATTCATTCATTCACTCACTGTATTTACTTACTTGCCTACACTTACTGTTCTGACTGTGAGTGGATTGAATGAAAAGAAAGCAGCTGATCGATAGTTTAAGTTTTAGAATCAGAATAAAGTAATTTATTATTTTTTTTTTTAGAGAGAGAGAAAGCAATGTTTGTTTTGTCAGTGAAATCTTTGTATTAGAAAATGCGAATTAAGAATACAAATGTGATGTAAACAAATACGCGTATAATTGATACTTTTTAATTTGAGCACAATAGATGTGTATTTTTAGATTATGATGGTAGTTGTAGCTACTTATTTAAAATAAGTAGTTTAGTAGTAGCCTTGTTCAGGAATGGCTGTCACTTTGGCTTTAGTTACCTAGTTGTCAGGATATGTTCAACTTAAGTTTAGAGCTGATTTTGACTAATTAGTAAGATATATCTACAGTCTTGAGCGGATTGATCTCCTCCAGAATGTTCGAACCCTTGTTATCCAGTATTGTTGTGAAAGATAGATAGTACCCAAATAATTCAGTGCAATCTTCTATAACCATTTGATCGCTGTGGTGATGAAGAAATGCAATCCTCTCGAAATTGTAGATTCCGATTTGTTGTTAATATTCAGTAATTAATAAGAGTGATTTAAAAATTCTACATAGACTATGCCAAAACTGTTTTTATTCCAAGCATACTTTATGATGAATTGCATAAAAGCTTGGGGGATTTTTATAAAAAAAACAGAATTCACTGTGTTTTTACAGTTCGTTCAGCCAGCCCGGTCTACCTTTATTTCAACGTAGTCCGCTTTTGCGAAACACTTAATTATACGGTCATATTAATATTTCTTATGAAAAGGATTATTCTCTAGCTCGTTAGAGATGTTGGCCAATATGTGTAGTTTCGTAAGTGCTCGGTGATAACTTCATTAAATAGATTGTGGTAAGCTTGCCAAATGAGCGGTCGATTCTGTTTTCTAGCCTCTTCTAATAACCACAAGTTTTCATCTACATGGCAACATGAACATAAGAGAAAAGACACGAAGTGCAAAACCAACGCTTTGCTCCATAGTTAGGTACAGAAAATCAGGGTTATTTATAGTATTTCAAATGGCCTTGGGCTTCCGGAAGTTTCTGGAACCATACAAAATGTAGTAGCATTTTAGGTAAATATCCCATCAAAACTGATGCATATGATTTTGTATTTTCTAGATATTTCTGCAAAGTTTCCACTCAACGTGAATTGTACAAAACGTTTCCTGGAGTTTCTGGGCCTCTATGGATTTAATGAGGGATATTTTTGGAACTCGTCCAACAGTTTACATCACAAACTGACTTTTGTTAGACATTCTTTAAAAACTAGGAAGCTTTTGGTAAATATTTTGTTTTAGTATGAGATTTTTCAGAAGTGCGCATCCTCAACCACATCATGTCTCAATTTCATGATCTTTTGATATAACGACGATCGAATAACATTTAAACAACTAGGTCGGCACCCCAAAGGTATATATATAATGTTTATTATTTTCAATGAATATTACCAGCCACGACGATGTCTCTGATTGTACTTTTTTATAACATGTGCAGTGAAAGATCGTAAACTTTTCATGGCAAGACTATAATTTCTGGACAAACCAATCAGATTTAAGATAACAGATTTTGGAGTTTAGCGCAAAATTCATTCATCTTTATAGCTAAATAGCATTTTACCTTATGTCAGTTTGTGATGTAAACTTTAAAACGAATTCCTAACTTTAACCATTAACTGTAAATCATAATTCAAATTTATTGCACTGAATTATAACTCTCATTTACTCCCAGTTAATATATGGACATTCTCAAGGTCACTTTACCGTTGCTCAAAGGTCATCCATAAATTATAGTCTCACTATATACTCCATATTCGTACTTTCTAACTTTTAAAATAGATCAGTTGTTACTATCACTATCATAGATTTTTCATTAATTTATAAATGTTAAGAAATGTGAAATTTTTCTCAACCCTCCACCCCCCCTTTCAGTTGTTTACTGTTACTAAATTGAATTTTAAAATAGAATGAAATTCAAAATTTATCAATAGTCCTGTTTGAATTTAATGTTTGTTTATTTGCTTGTTTGTTTGTTTGTCTATATGTAGAGGTGTATGTGTGTTTCTATGTCCTTGAGCAAAGTAAATGATAATAATAATAATAATAAACTAGGAGAAAACAACCCTTAAAGGTTCGTGCCTACCTACACATACATGTATGGACGTGTAAACTGTACACACACAAACACAGACGTCTAGACGATTGTACTATTCTTGTCTTCTGTTTTCCATTGATTCAATCGTCGTTCTTCTTCTTCTTCTTCTTCTTCTTCTTCTTCTGCTTATTATTAGTATTATTATTAAAATTAATGTTAGTATTCTATTATCTGCTATTCTTTCATGTTAGGCATAATAGTACAACAGCTGGTCTGTTATTCCTTATTCTTTTATACATCCTCTTCTCTTCTCACTTCCTTCCTTTGTTTGTCTGTTTATCTATTTGTTTGTTGGTTTTTTGTTTGTTTATTTACCTAATTATTGATCAAATTGAAGTTGTCTAAAATTGTGTATGTAGATGTATACAATTCATACATATATAAACACACATGCTCCTTTATTCTGGCCAGTTTTAATTTGTCTTCATTATTATCTTCCTCTCTCAAACTTACTATTTACTTTACTAATCTCTTCACTCTATCTCTTACTGTTTATGTTTTCTTTCTTTCTTTCTCTCTCTGTGTATATATATGCGTGTGTGTTTGTTTAAGAGAATGAGAGAGAGTGGATCTGTTTAGGTACACATATACATTCATTCATGTATAGTAGACTGTTTATGGGTTAAACTGTGACATCATATTGATTAATTGTTATTATGATGGCTGATTTTCAGACAAGATTATCGATTTACGGACTGATTTTTATTTTATAAAGAGAGAGAGAGAGAGTAACATAGTGTGTGTGTGTATACGTTTTATTTATTTTAGAAAGCTTTGTTTCTTCCTTTATATATAATATAATTATTATCTTTGTATCGTTTAGTTCCGGCTTATGTGTTTGTTGTTCTTATATACATTTATGTTACAATTGTGTAACAATTGTCTATTAATTAGTCAGTCTTTGCTTGATAGACCTTAACTGTCCTAGTATTATTCACTAATGAGTTACTTCAATTTATTCCTGATATTATAGTGAATAACTATGATTAGTAGATTTCAAAATTATTAGGCGTAAAACATTTATTACTAATATTATTAGTGAGATCTTAAAGTTCTGGTATCAATCTCTGGTAGGGTTGTCGTTGAACACTTCTTCTGAGAAGTTCCATATTAGGATAAAGTAGTAGTTAAGTGGTCCCTGACACTCATTACACATTTTACTTTGTAGTATATTTTTAGTATTTAATAATAACTCGCGAAATTTCGTGGATTGGTTAGGGTTAGACATTAACACCGTTGGATGTCGGTTCAGTGGTCTGTAGGTTAAGCGTTCGTGCGCGAAATCAAAGACCCTGTGTTCAAATCCTGTGAGCAGGATCGTGGATGCGCACTGCTGTGGAGTTTCACAATAGGACGAAACAGCCGTTCAGTGCTTTCAGGTTTTCAATGGTGGTCTAACATCAATCGGTTCATGATCTTAATCAATAATAACTCCTTTATTATTTCTATTTCTTCCTTTCTAAATCTTAAGTGTTATTTCAAACGGTTCGATTTCTTGATCTAAATTCTTTTTTGTGGTATATTTTCTATATTGCATTATTTATTACATAATTAGAATAATTCTATTCCTTTATTCAAGTTATATTCAGGATACTTGGTAAATTTGATAAATCAGTTACTTA